CTACTACTACTACAACTGATCACCATTTAATCTTAGCTAGCACTCCCAAAAGTTTACTCAATCATCCTTCTAACATTACTGACAATTTGATCGAGAGTAGTAGTTCTTCTCATCTTCCTAGTCATGAACCTTCAATTAATTTCCCTTCTCCTTTTCATCATGAAGATCAAAAACAACCATGTCGGGCTCCTAAAGATACATGTTGTACGTATTGTCAAGGCTTGTTTACCTCTAGAGGTGACAAACTTCACAAACAATGTTGTCTTTGCAAGAAAGAAGCGCGGTCTTTTGGCCGTTTGATCGAGAGAGCGAGGCTCGCTCCATGGTGACCATCTCATCAATTCAATGTTTATTAATTAATATCATGGGTGGGCACATGATGAGGATAGATAAATGATGAGATTAAATAAAAAAATGGAGCCCCTTGTGGAGCCCCTTCTTGGAAATGGGGCGCCTGATTTATTTGTAGCCTCGGGTCCGACCCGAAAGAGGGCTTCGGATACTGCTCCGAGGGCTCTAAATAGTGGGGTCCTTAACAAAATAACCCAAAACTTATCTTCTGAACTATCATAAAAAGATCACCAGTACTCCCTTTTCCCTTGGATTTCTGCCTTGTCCAAACATCTCGTTGTTATTTCCTGAAGAAGCTTTCTAACTTTAGATTGTGCTTTAAACTTTAACTACGAGTCCTTTAGACAGATTTCCACCTTTCCCTTTTTACTTTTCCCTCTCACTCTACATTCCACTAGGGCGTTACAGATCGTGTAACACATTGTTATTCGACTAAAGTTCCTAAGATCGTTTTACTTCTTACCCCCTCCTTTTTGATAAGAACCAGTTCTCATCAAAACTAACGCTAAAGGGTCACCTAAGAACCTTATACGTTTAAACCCATATTCATCTTAGCAGATTTGTAAGTGATTGCACTTACAGACAAACTGGCAGCGGTCTGATCCCGCACCATAGACAACAACAACTAACAATTGTGGTTTTTCTTAATATCAACATCTTACAAAGAACCGAAAAATAATTCCTCTCTGGTTAGAAAGTATCTTTCAAAACCTGAAGAAATACATTTTGTAAGTTTCATTCATCTCTAGATCTCTTAACTTGCTACCAAAGTTAAGTCTCGAGCTGACAATGGTATTAAGATGTCTTCACAATAAACTTTGATAATCAGCCTTTGGACCAATCTCATTGGCTCATCACACAATCAAATTCAATTTTGAACAATCTTTGGAAGATTGACTGCATCTCAAACTTACATGTCAAAGAAATAAGGAAAATTTTGGGTTCAATATAATCATCAAGCAGACAACTCTTGAACCAGGGCTTATCAGATCAATGAAAGATGTTCACTGATTCTCCTAAACTTTGTTTTCAACATATTGAATGCATACTTTGATTCTGAGAAGATGTACCACTTTGCTTCATTTGTCATAGTCGTATTTATTGTTCTAAAAGTTTGAGGTTGAACACATTAAATCAGAAACATTTACCTCCGTATATGGTGATTTCAAATGAAGTGTTAGATACAATCTGATTGAGACATGTGCTACATTTCTTGAACAAGTCAAATTGTTCATTGTATTTCAAACCCAATCAAATATCACATCATATTCCAGCAAAGGAACAATCAGTCCTTCAATCTTGGTTCTTACGTCCGTTCAACTGAAATGTTGAAAGAAATCACCAAACCTAAAAGAGCTCTCACCTCAGACTGGAAGTCATAACATCTCATAGGTAAGCAAAGAAAGATAAGTCCATATATATCTGCCTACTCAAAATCTGTTCCTTTTAGGCAGTCCACAAGATACAGGTGTAGATGATAAAACACCAAAAAGCAGGATATTTAGTACATGAACAAAAGATAAATGCAAACTTGGTTGTCATCATCAATTGATTCCAAATTGTGCCAGATTTCATTATCCTTCACATGATCTAGAAGCTATGTATCATGTTCCCCAATTTATGATTTCATTGAGTTCAAAAAGGATGAAAACACAGTCTTGGGAGTAACAGTGCAGGTTTACATTGGTTGTATGTGACATCAATCAACAAATTGTTCCACCCTACCCATCATTCACCATTAATTCTTTTTCTATCTTTGATCACAATTTAAATGAAGTTAGTGGTGTCAGGATGACTCCATGATACTATTCAACTTCACATCTAAAACTTGGTGACAAGCAATTCATTTTTTTAGAAACTTTGATCGGATTCCATCAATTTCTGAATTTGGTTGTAAGTCATGAAATTATATCTTGCACCACCCAAAATTCCTGGATAAAGGGAACCATCAAAAACAGGGGGCCACAAGAAGACAAATTACAAATTACAAAACCAAAACATGAAAGAACAGTGTGATTGAAATGAAATTTAAATGATGGTATTTGGGCAAATCATTTAGCTGTTATTGTCAAGAATGTGTAATGGTATATAGATTACTATACACTTGGCATGGGTTTTGAGCATGACACAAACACTCAAATCATGCAGTTTTTGCCAAAATTGTGATTATGAGAACAGGAAGAGATGACAAGGTAGAAAATATCACATCTGTGGCAACTTATTGAGAGCAACAATCAAAGGGAGTAAGACTCAATCAAGATTATAAAAGATCATATTTGACATGTTACATCTCCATTGGAAATATATTATTTGATAAAACCTTTACATTTTTGTATTGTTTCAAATGCTGAGAACACCAATGATATTTCCTCAGCTTACATCTGACCTTTGAATTATTGACTCATTGATCTCAATGGCATCATGTGATATGATTAAAAACTGTATGCAAACAATTTGATTCACTGCCAACAAAGAGGCTTCAGATTCTTGAATCCAACAAGTACTTGGATGCAAAGTGTGGCAAGGGTGCCACCCACCACTGCATTCCACACCAAGCTTCAATCCTTGACCTTGGACAAACGTCGACTAAGTAGTGCATTGATTGGTTCCAAGATGTCACTGAAATCAAAGATGTCTCAATCAACATGTTCCAAGCAAAAAAGAAGGGTGATTGGGACTCCAAAGCCTCTTCACAGTTACTGTCATGGCGGCGTCAGCCGCTAAAGCGGCGCCCGCCGCTAATTTGCCAGTGATTAATTTAATATGAAAATGAAGATGTTAATGAATAATGGTGAAACATACAATTAGGGGATGTCTGCATTTTGGGGACAAGTAGGACAAATAAAAAAGTCGGCGAAACTGGATTAAACCCCTAAGACAAGCTGTACACTAAGACTCCAACCCCCTTAGGCTCAGCTGTTCCCAACCCCACCTCTCTTCATGGCCTATCAAACCCCTATGAGTTCTTGGTGATCTCTACTAAAAACCTAAAACTAAAACTACGATCAAAACCCAAAACAACAACAACCTCAAGAGATTGATCATGTTCATGATGAAGGTGTAAGGAGTGATAGAGAATGAGCAAATCAAGTTGAATAATATCATATCATTTCACAAGATAATGATCTTTTTAGTTGGTCTTGATCCTTTATTAGCTACTTCTCTTGAAAATGTATTAACCATTGTTCTGGAACCATTCAATTAGATTTCTTCCAGAATGGTAGCTCAGCTCTCAAACCTACTCTAGAAGATTGGATCAAGATGTCTCATATCCATCATAACTTCCTCAACAATCATTCAAACAAAATGAAACAAACCAGAACAGATTCTTTGTCTAACCCTGTCAAACAGCCAATCAAGGAAGATGTGATAGCCCCACCAATAGAGAACTCAGGCTCGGATGAAAACATAGAAATCAATGAATATAGTCAATCCAAGGTAGAATGAAGGACCGACATTGGAACATTTACTCAATAATGACATCGATATGAAGAATGCTCCATTGGATCCGAAAACGTGAAAATTCTGTCTTGTCTCCAAATTACTCATTTGAAAAAACCCAACTTATTTGTTCTAACATACAGATTCAATTCAATTCATAAAAAAATAATACCACAGAGATAGTGCTCTTACGGCTTGTGAAAAGATAGAAAAGCAAGAAGAAGGTCAACCAAAGGTAGATGAAGGACTGGCATTGGATCATTTGTTCAATGACAACATCGATTTCGAAAATGCTCCTTCGGACCCGGAAACGCGACTCCAAACTTTGTCTTGCCTTCAAAGTACTCATTAGACAAAAATGAACTTGTTTATTCTAACATGAACTTTTGATTCAATTCATAAAAAATATCATCACAGAAATTGTGTTCTTGCGGCGTACAATGATCCTTGTGCTAATCTAAATGAATATCAAGTAATGTCAAATTAATATTGACAACTGTTTCCTTGGAAGCAACTCTTCTTATGGTTCGAGCGAGATCATGCTGAGTCAATGGTTTATTCAATGAAAAACTGTTGGAGAACGAAAGGTTCTCTAGGTGTTGTGTCAAAACCATTAAGGAAATGGAAACGTCTTCTGAACGGATTGGGATTGGATGGAAACAAAATCAACTGGTATGAGGCTGAAATCGTGATAGGAACTAGGATTGTGTTAGAAGGAACTTACCGCATTCGGATTTGATTAGGGGATAGTGTGTTTACTGTTGTGTTTTGTTTGTAGAGAGCTTGTGACTTTGCTAGAGTTGTGTTCCCTTTTAACCTCCCTCTCTCTTCCATCTGAATCTTTTTCCCCCATTGTGGAAAAAGATTCTAAAGGTGAGAAAGTGTTATTTCTTTATCCTAATATCACTTTACGAAGTAACTGTTACTAAAACTTCTTTTACACTATACCTCTACGTTTTACTATTTCTCTTATTTCTCTTTTAGTAGTTTTCTTCATCATCCACGTTCCCTCATTCAGGTCCGTTCTCGAGTTTAGAACTCGCTGTCTCTGTCATCAGCCCGTGTCTAGTCAACACCAGGCTGAACTGTCTTGTCACCTTTATAAAAGGTTGTGTGTTTCTGTTGCAGTAGCTTAGTGTCTCAGCCAACTCGAATTCTTACAAAAACAAGTGTGATATTTGACTAAAACAACATGAACTCATGAAAAGATGAGTCAATCTTTGATAGTACCAAACTACGCCTTTACAGATCAAGAGTTTGCTGTCACCCTTCGAAATGAAGCTTACCTAAGAACAACTCTTATGCAAGTCATCAAATTACCAAAGGATATTATCAGATTGAACCCTACGCAATTCAAAATCGGACCTGCTTATACGGCTCAGCCCAAATATTGAAAACTGATCTCCAAGGCAGCTTTTAAACCGATCTTAAGAGAATTAGTCTTTGATATTGATCTAACGGATTATGATGATATTCGAAGCTGTTGTTGTGAAGCAAGAATTTGTTCAAAGCGCTGGAAATTCATTACCATTGCTGAAAAAGTTCTAGATTTATCTAACTCTAGCTTCAGTGATCAAAGAAGGAGCCAAAGACTAAAGGAAGAATTGATAAATATTCAAATACATTACACATATCCTAGAATCAATTTAGAAGTTCATAAACATATGACCCATATTTTGAAAAGTCCATTTTGGGTACATCTTGGTAGTAGTACAGGTAAAGTTTGCGTACCTATTGATCCTACTCAAATTCATGCATTTGATCCGAAAAAAGTTCCAGATGTTAGAGACCTTTTAAGACAATTAGACAAAGTTAAATTCAATCAAACTGGAGATGGACCTCAACAAAGTAATAAACCTAATTGGGAGCAAACATCTTTGAAACCATATATTGAAGTTTTTGAAAAACATATAAATAAGATTGTAAAAGAAAAACTAAAATCTAAAAAATGTGAGCTGTTCTTTCTGTTAATTATGTTGATTTTGTTTCTTGCTTGTTTTAGTGTAAACTAATGATTGATGACTTTTTTTGAAAAAACCTGCAGAAGCACAAAATTCACATAAAGCTCAATTTATGGAATTTTGAAAGGCTTTCATTCTTTTTCTCCTGATTCAAACTTTTCTTTTCATTAGGAATCACAACACACCTTATCCTATCAAACTAGGTACCAAATCATGCATATCCTCTCATTAATTCAAAAATCAATAAATCATTCAAACTGAAACTCGCCACAAAGAAAAACTTTGAAAAGAATTTGATCAATTTCTTCAAAACATCAATCAATTTATCACATCAAAACTAATTTTTTATTAAACCAATTTGATGAATTCATTACAAACGTATTTAGTTAGTATGACAACTTTTTCTTTAAGATCTATTAGACATACTTCCACTTTTGTTTGTTTGTTTGGTTTGATGAGTCCATTTATTGATATTTTGATTCGAGTTGTTTTCAAATTCATTACACCAAATAAAAAGGTATCAGATTCTGAAAATAAAAATCATCATAATTATTGATCTGGAAGTGATGAAAGATTAAATCAATGGAAAAAAGGAATAGTATAGTTTGTGATCAGAGAGAGAGAGTCTCGAGAATCATATTGATGATTGCTTTACTGGATTAGTCAAGTTTCTTTGTCCTAAAGAAGAATGATATTGAAAAAGTTGACTTTTTTGCACAGGCTTTTGTTCATTAATATCGAGATTCAGATCCCAAGATCTGGATCAAATTTGTTCAAGCTTTTTCTCTTCCCTCTACCACATCATTTCATCTTCTTTGAGTGTAAAACCTGGTTTTTGTGTTTGGATCAGAACAAAGAAGCTAGATGTGAATTCATAAAAGCTTCAAAGAATCTACACTCAACAGAAGATAATCTAGGACCAATGCAACATTTTACTACCCGATTTAAATCAACATTTTAAGAAATTGCCCTGAAATCAATACAAGGTGTTTAGCAATAAAAATCTTAAAAGTTTTAGATTTGCACGGTGGATTTCAAAAAGTTTACAAAGAAATCAATTAATGAAATTAATATTTGATGAGGAAAGTCGAGTAAGGCAAACAATTAGTAAACTTTTTTTAAGAAATTAAATGAGGTTTATGATTCTAAAAGATTTGAAATTTGAAATAATGGGAGTTGGTACGCGTATTGACATACGGGAATGGGTCAAAAAGGCGTCCGGGTAGTGAGAACACGCGGGGTGGAACCATAATCTCCCATCCTCTCTGGTGGAGATACTTCCACCTCACGTGCCAGCATAGGATGGACGTTAGGATGCAATGAGTGTAAAAAATTATCTTGCCTATAATTCCTGTCCTCTGTTGAAAGCTCATTTGTCCCACTTAAAAATTTCCTTACAAAATTTTATTAGTCCGTGCGTTCTTGTCTTACTATAGCCTTTTTCTTCTTGAGTCTTATAAAAAACGAAAAATCTCCAAGTTTTTGTTGGCCTCCCGCCCGCCCAAACTACTCAAAAACAAAAAAGCTGTCCCTTTTTTTCCTCTACTATATCAAGTCAGATTAATCATTTTTTCAGTTTGTTTGACAAAACTTGTTAGTCCTTGCCTAAGAACATTTCCACCCACAGAACTCTCATGTGTTCAGTTTTTGTCAGGTTTCAAAAAACCAGTTTTCTCTGTTTCTTTCTTTTCTTAGTCTTACAAGTGTTCCATTGTCTCATGCACACTAATAAGACTCATTTGTCTCATGGCAGTCAAGCGTAAACCAGCGGTTGATCTGCCAGACACCAGACCCATTCCTACTTTGAAATATCATAAGAGAACTAAAGGAAGCCAAAATGTTGGTAGTAGTATGGAAAATGAACAGGTTGAAAAAGGTTTGAAATTGACCACTCTTTTGATTAAATTTGGAAAGGATGGAGATATTCCAGTTACACGACGTAAAGATCAAGAAGATCATTTGAGTTCCAAGTCTACAAGCCAAATCCAATAATAAATAGGAAGAGGAAGAAGCTACAGATGATGAGGGTAGGGACCAAGAGATGATAGGTATTGTTGGAGTTCCCTGAGAAGAGTAGGACTGCTTTAGCAATTGAAAGTCTATAGGATGAAATGGATGTGATGTGTGATTGGCAATTGATGTTGGATTACTTGTTATTGGATCAGTCTCCTGTTATCACAAACACAACAAACAATAGTCAAACTTTAACTCCAAATAAAAATTGACCTTGATCATTGATGAGACCTGATGAAGAAGAGGAAGAAGAGGAAGAATTTGAACCAGTTGAAGAAGGATGTAAATTAACTGAAAATGAAGGAAATGTTTTACTTGAGATCCCTTAGTTACGTTAAATCAATCAACCAAAGGACTTACAGAAGAAGAACTTTGAATCAAAAGAGAAAAATTAAAGAAAACAATACAAAAATTGAAACAAAAGGCAAAACAAAAAGAAGGAATAATGACCAAAGAAGATGAAGAATTGCATTGAATTGAATTGGTTAATTATTCTAATAAGATTAAAATTAGTAAAGTGATGATTAAAGTGTTAACTAAATTTTATGCTAAATATTGCCATGATTCAATTGAATTATTCGGAATTTTAAGAAGACCTAAACTCTTATCTTTGAGTCTTTATCTTGAACTTTGTATAGTATCTGTAAGTAATGAAACTTTTTTTAACTTTAATATTCTTTTCTAATTTTCTCCTTTCAATTGATGGAGATCTTTTGGCTTTCGTCCAATTAATGAATATACCAAAGAAGCAGATCAAAGAACAATGAGTATAATCTCTGCTACAATTGATCATTTGTTAAACTTCTCTGAATAATAAAAAAATCAAACCTTGAGTAAATCAATATTTATGTTGGGTAGTGCCTAAACGTGTGAAATCGGGTAATTTGGGAAAAAAGTTTATAAAACCCACAAAATTGATCCAGTTTTGGATCCGAGGGCAGATTTGGAATCCTCACATCAATAGCAATCCCAAATTGTATGGAACATATTGTTCGTAACAATTTTTACAGTAGAAAAATTTCTTTTCATACAATGGAGTTTTTGATAAATCAGCTTCTTGGCTGGCCCGACATTACACGCTTTTAGACACTACCCACTATACAAATCACATAAATTTAACTTTTAATTCAGAAGATAAAATGACTGATTTAAAAACTTTTGGTTTTGAAATTGATGAAATTAATTGATTTTATTTTGCATTGTGTCATCTTTTTTACTTTTTATCAATAATGATGAAGATGGAGATGGTGATAGAATGCTGGTAGATAGGTCTGTGAAGATACAGGTGCTTGTTGATATTATTTTTGGAATGGCTAATTGTGGTCAATTAAATTATCCAGAAGAAGCAAAGGTAAAGTCTGCCAGTCACTTTAATCTAAACCTCTTGCTTCTTTTACTATCATTAAAGGGCTCATTTCTTTCCTTGAAAATTAGGTGGTATAAGTAGCAATCAAAATTTTACAGTCAAATTTTATGTGGAAGTGTGCAAATTCAAGTAAAATGATAAATGAAGTTTCAAGAATTGAAGAAGAAATTGAGAAAAAAGAAGTTGAAGTAAAATAATTGGTTGAAAAGGTTTTAGAGTTTAGGGTTTAGGTATTGGTTTTTAGATTTGATGAAAAAATTTGCTATTGATCCTGATTGTATTGCTTGTGATAATATTAAAAGAGCAGTTGAGATTTTGAATATCATATTTTGTTCTCATGACTTGATTCAATATTCTCACCATTGATCGTGAATCCAGTCACACTTCAGCTAACAATTACGATTGGATGTAGCAATGAGATTCCTACACAAAGCTCCACGGGAAAGAGTATGAGATATTTGTAAGTCAGTACCAAACATTCCACTGAAAAAAGCAATTGGCGGAGCCTAGGTGGTAGGCTATACTTCTCACCCTGATAATAAAATTTATTAATTGTCTAAGAAACAGTTGAGGAGGTATCAGATAGTTTGTGAGTATTTGATTTGTTAAATTATTCAAAAATTTCAAAACTTGAACCTGATGCTCCTACAAACACTGGGGAGTAGTTGAAGCTACAATCACTACACAAAATATAATATTTTCTGGGCAGAAAATTAAATTATTGATACACAAAAATATTGAGAGGCCAGGAGAAGGGCAAAAAATAAATAAAAATATGCATCTTGTTCCCTGCGGTGAGAGCTTCACTCTCCATATTTTTCCATATTTTTACAGTCCGTATTGATAAGTGTACTAACAATAAACCTTCATAATCATCCAATTACAACCTGTAACAAGCACTGAAATTTGGCTCATTAGTGTTTAGAGGAACTTTTGAGTTCTGAAAACACCTATGGCGTGGTCAAATCTGCCTCATAACACTCGATTTTACGTGCATTAGAAAGCTGAACTCTTCCTCTCAAACTTTCATAAGGTCAAGAACTATGTAGCTAGTATGACAATCATTCTATGGATCTGTATGTACAAATGTATATAAAAGATGATATCTTTTTTAGCATACCAGCATGCTGTGTGGTCCTATTATGAACTATTTGGAGGACAATTCCAGCTTACCAATGCACCCAAAATCGAGCGTTTTGGACCGGAATTGAAAAAGCTATGAGTATTTTCAGAAATCAAAAGTTTCTCTAAACACTAATGAGCCAAATTTCAGTGCTTGTTACAGGTTGTAATTGGATGATTGTGAAGGTTTATTGTTAGTACTCTTATCAATATGGACTGTAAAAATATGGAAAAATATGGAGAGTGAAGCTCTCACCGCAGGGAACAAGATGCATATTTTTATTCATTTTTTGCTCTCCTCCTGGCCTCTTAATATTTTTGTGTATCAATAATTTAATTTTCTTCCCAGAAAATATTATCTTTCTTGTAGTGAATGTGTCATACTGATCATGTACAGCCATTCTGGCAGTTTCAAAGAAGACTAAATACACTTTAGATTATCATATTAAATTGCTGCTGAATTAGTTGCTGAAGGTATTTGCATGTGCTTTCTACCAAAATTATTGCGGGATTTTGAACACCTTCAGCTACAAAGATGCCAGTTA